GAAGAATGTGAAAATAATCTTAACAAACAGTCCTAAAACATTCAAGCTTCATTGGCATTAAGCATAATAAATACTCCTATTACTGTCTTTTATTTTGGGTTTGAACCAGCACTTACATAACTACCCAGAATCTTCTCTGTCCGTGGGATGCGTCTGCGAATCTCACAGTTGCCGGGCTGCAGTATGGTGATCCCTTCGCTGGAGAACACGTAGAACATGTTCCCCACACTGAGCCCTGCAAGCACACACAACATCACACACGCCATTACACACTCTCTCTTCCTTCAGAGAGAACAACAGCAAACGGCGTGCCACTGGGGGAGAAAACGGTTTCAAACAATGCGGCTGTCATACGGTCAGACAGCAGAGACTATTAAAATCTCCTGAAACCTCTCCAAAAAGTGCATTTGCAGGTCTGTCACCTGGCAGCAAACAACAGCTGCTAATTAGCGTGGTCACGTCAGACGAGCGGCAGCACAGAGTTGTCATGCTGTCAGAAAGCAGAAGGTGTAAAAACACACAGTCGCAGGTAAGCTGTGCATGATCAGTGCTGGCGGTCATCTCCATGAGTCGAGATGGTGGATGACTGTTCCTAACGATCATACGCAGGCACTGATTTGTGTAGAAGCCGACGCTAAATTAAAAATAAAAAAGGTAGCTGCCACTTTTTATCTCACAGTTCTGACTGTTTTCTTACAATTACGAATTTATATCTCACAATCTCACAGAATTGTGAGATATAATCTCGCAATTGTGAGAGAAGTCCAGTTCTGATGGGAAAAAAAAACACTGACTTTATTTCTCAAAATTGAAAGTTTATATCTGGCAGTTGTGACTTTTTCACACGCAACTGCGAGTTAGAAAGTCAGTATTGTGCGATAAAAACATGCAATTGTAATAAATTATCAGTCTTTTTCCCCCCTCAGAATTGGACTTGCAATTGCAAGTTTATATCTCACAATTCACAATTTCAAAAAAATTTATTAATAAATTAAAATTTAAATTAAAATAAAAGTCAGAGTTTATATCGTGAAATTCTGATTATATATCCCAAAATGTGACTTTATATCCCACAATTTTGAGGAATGAAGTGAGAATTTGCGAGAAACAAAATCAGAATAAAAGTCAGTTTATATCTCACAATTTTGACTTTTTTTCTCAGAACTGCGTAATATAATCTTGTGATTATTAGTGATAAAGTCCAATTCTGAGGAAAAAAAGACTGACTATTCCTCAGAATTACGAGTTTATATCTTACAATTCTGACTTTTTTCTCAGAATTGCGAGTTTATACATGCAATTGCCAGTTATAAAGTCAGAACTGAGATATAAATTCACAATTGTCTTTTTTCCCCTCAGAATTGGATTTATAACTTGCAATTGCGAGTTTATATTCACAATTCACAAAAAAAATAAAATAAATAAAAGTCATAGTATATATCTTTATTTCTCAGAATTGCAACCTTGTATCCCACAATCCCACAACTTTATGATTCGCAATTGTGAGTTTATATCACACAGTTCTGAGAAAAAGTCAGAAATGCAAGATGCAAACTCACAATTGCGAGAAAAAAGTTACAATTTAATTTTAGCTAGTTAATTTAGTTTAACTAGATGAAATAAAATAACTACAATTAAAACTGAATTATTAAATTAAATTAAATTTTTTTTAGCTTTAACTAAAATGAACATGAAAGCAGAAAATATAAAAATCAAATCTAATTGAAAATATTAACAATAACTACAATAGTATCTCAATGATACTAAAATAACAGGATTCAGATGGTTAATACCATTTAATACGTCAGTGTCCACCTCAGAGACAATCACCATATTTATAATGAAACCATCATATTTAAAACACATTTATCATAAAACATATTTATTGTTACTACATTAAAGCCATATAAAATTTATATTTCCTTCAAGCTGTGTAAAAAGCTTTCAGTATCTTTCCTTTGTTCTGTATTTTAAAAAATAAACAGAAACAGTAAACTTTGCTAAAGTGATTGTTTTGAACAAGATATTATGCAAAACATATTACTTTAGCTGAAGTTTGCCTGAGTGTGGGCCCTCACCACCTCAGACATTTATACGATTTTAAACACAACGAAGTACTTTTAGAATTTACTTTCCCTCAAAATGTGTTGCTCCATCAGTTCAATAAAAACATGTATATATATATATATATATAGCCTATATTTTTAGCCCCGTTCTACCCTACTGTACGAACATGACACACGAGTCATTAGTCGAGACAGAGTGTAAATCACCATTACGACATGATATGTGACGATCAAAGCAATCTACATGTGAGCTTTCTTTGATAACTGAGCTCCTGCAGGTGTGTTATAAAGTCATTAGCACCTGTGCATTCTAGCTCTTTAACCTTCACATTAATGCATGCTTCAAATAGGCCTGGAATCATTTCAGCAAGCACTTTAGTCCACACACAGTTATCAAAGTGTCTCTCAAAATGTTTGTCATTGTTACTGTAACATGAACACTAATCAGATAGATAATCAGACATGAGTATCAAGCAGATTTACCTTCTTCCCTCCAGAGAATGTTGGCCACTAGATGGACAGCATGAGGAAACACAGAGGACAGTTAGTGGACAGCAGAGAAACACACTGATGTCACCCTGGACATTTACACGTTTACAGTATGTGTAACTGTAATAAAAGTGATTTCACATTAATATGATGCCCTGGAAAACATAGAAATAGTGGCCATGAAGTTGAAGATGAGCTGCTGGAGGGATTCAAATCATGATTTGGTTAAGTGCTATTATGAAATCGCAAAGGCTGATATTGTTAATTAAATCTTTGTGCAACGTGTTTCATGATGCACAGCACTGTGGTCAGAGCGGCTCGATCGCTTCGGCGTCAGCAAAAGAGAGCGGTTTCATGCCACACTGTCAGTTAAGTGTTTGAAATAACTTCCATTTGTGATCTGATGTGGCTTCATATCATATTATTTTACAGTAAACTATACTAATTAGTTCTGCATTATAAATATTTCATTCTTATAGAACACAGGAAAAAAACATATATTGTTGCAGTGCATATGCAACTCTGCATGTGTATGTTCTTCTTCAGCATACAGAAGTTTACAGGATTTATTTTTATTTTATTTTTTGCAGAGGATGCATGCAGTGACTCATATTTCATAAAACATGTACACCATTTTTGATTTTGCATACCTCGTGACAAAAATTTAAATTCAGAAATTATCATCACTGATTTTTATCATAGTAATATTTGACCTTTCTAATGATTTATAGTTGTAGGTCACCCAGATTTTCGTATATATATATATATAATATTCGTTTTTATTTTATAATGAAATAGTATTATTACAATAGTCATTTTTCTTATTTGAATATTTTTTATTTAGTAATTTCAATAATCATAAGAATTATTATTAGTCATTTTTATATATAGGCATAAAAGTTTCGGCCAAATTGTGCAGCCCTACAAACAAGAACAAAATGTGTTTTTTTTGCTTTAAAAAAAAAAATCACATTGCAAACTGCAATCGCAATTTTTAACCAGAAAGTCACAATTTGATTTCCCCCCCAAGTCGTGCAGCCCTAGTGGTAAGTGCTGATAGATGGGATCAGATGAACATGAACTTTATTTTGAAATTAATCTGTGCTTTTTTTCTGCGATTCCTTTAGTCTGTCTCACTGAGCTGACTGAAACCCTGCAGGCAGATATTACTGAAGCCTTTTCCCACACAGCGGACTTGCAATTTTCAGAAATGTGTCTGTATCCATTCTAGTGATGTTTTTGATTAGCAGAAATAGAGTGTTGAAAAATACAATAAAAATGAATCAAAAGAAACAAGCACCAGCAGTGTTTCTCGACACTGTGTACAGCAGTCAGGAAATCTTTTGCATTGAATTTATTCATGTGTTTATGTGGCTTCCCAGAGAACTCAAACTTACTACAAGTAAATTTTATACTACATTTTCATTAACTCATGAAATATCAATCTGCTAGCTCAGTGTTACAGATATTAAAATGGCCTTGAGGTCTGTCAGGTCCCAAAAACGAGGGATAACATATAAAAGACTTCTTCAAAGGTCTTATTTGAGATGATTTAAATGCAAAAATAACCAGCCTTTGTCCTCTTCATATGGGACTTGTCACCTGTCTTTTATTAAGCCTTTTATATTCAACAAGGACACTGGGTTAGAGAAAATATGGCTGATTTATTATAAGACTTATACTGTGGAGCTCAAAGACAGAATGTGTGTTTTGGACAGGGAACAAATCCGTGTATCATTCGATCATTCGTTTTTTGATTTAATATTTAAAGTAGAAAAATTTTAAAACTGATCCTTTTTCGTTTTTTTGTTTTTTTCCAAAAAACGAA